CTGCTGCAAGGGAAGTGACAAGAATCTCACCTTGTCCCCGTGCAAAAATTTAAATTTACCCTTTTACCAGGCAGCATATATGCACACTTCAACCACGGACAGCATAAAGCTGTGCCCAGTGCTTGGGTTTGGGCTCTGAAACTCATATCCCACTTCAGCTTGTCACAGGTTCTCCTCAGCCCTTGCACTGCAAGGAAGAAATAGCAGGAGCTTAGGGTGAGAAGCATGGAGGATACATTTGTTGTGTGTTTAAGCTGTGTTGCTGAAGATGTTTTGGTCTGCTTTGCATGTGTGTCTGTTCCGGATGGTTTTCCTTGTGTTTAAAAAAAATAGGTATACTTAAAATTTACTTTACAAAACCTCAGCAAATTAGCACTGATCTTTTCCAGACAATTCTTCAAATGAATGTTCTGCAAATGCCTCCTCACAGCATGCAAAGATTTAGATACGCTGGGAACTGGCTCCGCAAAGGATGCTCTCCAACAAGAGGAATTTAAGCACTGATACCAGTTCAATTTGCCGCTTTTTGATTTTAATATAAAAAGAAATAGTTTCTGCAAGGAAAGATCCAGCTTTCATCACCAGAGCCCCAGCACAGACTTCAGAGGCAAAACCAGTTCACAGATAAGCACTTTTCATAAACATGACACATTTCTTGGCTTGCAGAGGTTCTGGAGAAGGAAAGAACAGGCTGTGCTGACATCTGGTGGCTTTCTCTGCAGGCAAAGACAGATCATGGCAATGGGTCTTGGCTTTTCACTGCCCTTTTTTTTTTTTTTTTTGGCATTCCTGATGTAACTTCTTCATTTCCTTCCAAGTCACAAAGCATAACGATAAAAAACATTTTTGTTTCCACTGACCAGTGGGGCAGTGATGTCCTATGCAATTCCTCCTGCAAAAGCAAGAAAGGATCCTTTGTTGTGCACTAATAGGGGCGGTGAAGAGAAGCTGTCCTCCTCATTTCAAAGCATATTTCTTCATGAGTAAATTTTTAAAAGTGTAAAATCACTGCCATGGGAAATGCTGCTATTGCATATCAGACGAGGTGCAAACCTAACCATTCAAGCACTGCAAACCAGCAGAGGTGGCAGCAAGAAGCAAAGGGAAGCGTTTGGGGAAACATGCAAAGGTGTGTGTGTGTGTTTCTGTAACTCAATAGGAAACAAAGAGTAGAGAAAAGTCAATAAAATGAAAAGTAGCAAAGTTGTCTGCTGGGCACGTTCCAGGGCTCATTAATCATTTGCAAATCTGTGCCAAGCAGTACTATGGAAAGGGAGTCATGGAAGGAGGATCAGGTGCCAAGCAGGAAGACGGGACTCAGCACAAACTGTTCAACAGGCAAATGCATGCACTTGCCTTAGGCATTTGTAATGCCTTCAGCTGTCTGCTGTGCTCTGAAGCCAGGATCCCATCAGTCATAGGAGACCAAGAATGAGTATCACGTGTTCTGGTTTTTCCTCCTTGATCTCTGGACACTCAGGATTTCTCTGGCTATTACGTTCCAAGGACAGGACACACAGATGCCCCATCATGGCTGTAGTAACTCTTGAACTGTTACTTTCAAGCTCATTTTTAAATTAAAGGTCTGTCAGGGGATGTGTTGAATACTCCAAGGCAGTGAAAGAGAAGCCACCACAGCTTACAACATATCTCTGGCTCACCTTAAAGACAGAATGTTTGCACCAAATAAAGCAGTTGCTCAATTGTAACTGCGGTTCACGTCAGATCTTTGAGGACTCCTTTAGGCCATTGGTAACTGTTAACATTTAACTCAGCTGTCCATGTCAGCACTTTTCTTAACTGTTGCTTCTTCTAGAGGCAACTTAATTACCTCAGACAGAAAATCGGGCAACATCGTTGGATGCAGAAAGTACGTGACAAAGCCAGAAAAAGAAAGATGCCTGTTCCAGCAGTTCATGAGTTTGATTCCAAAAATTATTAAAAAGCACCATTTTTATACCTTTAGTGCTATAAAAAGCAACACTACTTCAGTATCTCTGCACCAAGGGTGTTGCACAATTCACGTTTTGCATGTTTATTCAGTTACACCTTTACCTCTTCCTGGTAATTCCTTTCCTAACTTCTCTTTAGCAGCCCTTCTTTCACACCTCTTAACCAAAACTCCAGTCCCTCTGAAGTGATTTTTTTTCTCCAAGCAACAAGCAAGCCTCACACTACACCTGAGGGTTCTAGTTTAACTACCTTTCCTTGCCACAGTGCTACAACTTAGGAGAAATTTTATCTGAATACTGCTCTTTTTGGTTTTGTGGGTTTTGTGGGTTTTTTTGTTTTGGTTTTTTTTTTTAAGGGTGAAAGGTTCCAAGGACATCACACTGAAAGATGAATCCTTATTAACCCCACAATGTCTAAGAACACTAGCAAAGCTATATGACTTACCCCACTACAGCTTTGATTAAAAGCAACTCTAAACCAACGCAGTTCACGACCTATGCCAGGATAACAAACCACGGCACCAACTCTGATTTCCTTCAACAGAAAGAGGATTTCACAACCACATGGGCAAAGACATCCCAGTCTTTACTAATTTATTAGCCAGTCTTCAGTCTGCATTCAGTACTCAACAATCTTGAAACGAAATCTACTTTGACACAAGGCTATACCGTATCCCACTAACAAATGTTAGAACAGTATATATCTTAACATGTTCTCAGTTATTATCTGTGGTTTTGTGGGGTTTACTTGAAAGGAGCGTTATTAAAGGTCCAATTGAAAAAAAAAAAAAAATACACACAAAAAAAACCAACAACACAGTAGAAAAACACTTCAGGAAGAAACCAGTTTACAAGTATGGCCATTGAGAGCTTTACAAAAGGCTCTACTGTGCTGCTGGAGAAAGGAGCCAATGAAGTGCCATTGCCAGAGCGAACTGAGCTCACAAAGCAGTAGTTTAACTCTTCCCTTGGAAAGAGAAGCTAATTTGGAGTGCCAGGCACATCATTCTTGAATATTTGCATTTATGGTTTTTCTCACTGATGCTGTGGAATCCCTCTTCCACTGTGCCACACTCAAAGTGGCACTGAGTTTGGAACTGTGCAAGCACAGAAAGAACAGTTGTTAAAATGTGGTGATTCTTTCAAACACAAATGCCTCAGAAAAAAGGGGATCACAAAACCCATCTAAATTTGTCTGAAAGGGCTGGAGACCAAATTCAAATCCCCAGAACAGGAGTAAAAGAATGGCAGCGTTTGCTCAGTCTGAAAGCAGTCTGAAAGCCTGAATGTGCTGACTGACACCATCTAGATGCCTTGGTAGGCCAGCCTGAGACACTGATCTCTCCAGTACACCATCTATTTAATGAATAGATTGTAAATTTGGCTGAACAAAGCTGGAGTGCAATGCATTACCCTAAACTGCCTGAGAATATGAGTACAAATCTGTATTAGCCAGATAAATCTGCAAACACAACAGACTGTGTAAGAAGGTAGATGAGGCATGGGCACATGTTTGGAGGAGAGCAGGTACCAGCAACAGAGAGGCTGTCTGGACAGAAAGAGGAGGTAAGAGGTAAGTTCTCACAAATTCATCAGGGAATTCATAACAGCATCTAAATCCCAAAAGAATACAGCTGACTTCAGTGACACGGGACTCCTCCTTACAAGGTAAAGATACAATCAACCCTTTTAATCACAATTTTAAAAGTGTTAGAGTACTTTCACCAGAGAATAAAAGCTGTTAGTGAGTTAACACCAGCTACAGAAACAGCCTAAACCAGAGAGCTGTCAGGAAGGATGAAGAAAACAAGGTGGGAACAATACATAGAGGATTCTTCGGAAGTACATCTAAAGTAAAGGGAAATTTTATTTAGATACTTCAGAAATCAGACATCTCTTTTCAGTATCACGTGTCAATAAAAAAAAAAAAATAATCAAAGTTTCAGGAAACAATAAGCTTACTTCTCCAGAAAGTCTCTTGTGGAAATAGTAGAGTCAGGTCTCACTTAAAGCTGAGGGTACGTGTGTAGGGTACAGTATCTGCATGTGAGGTCTCATTTGATTTAGCAGAGCCTGTGCCCAAAAAGCCTGCTAAGGCAGAGAGCCAGCATCATTCCTCTTTCAATGAAGAGAGGTTTAAGGGCACAACGTCCCATCTTGGTACCCCCAAAAAAGCATTTCGTTAAGTGGTATTTATCTAAAGGTACTTTCTTGAATACATGACTATTTTCTACTATTCTTTATTTGGTTCATGCAGTAGAAAAGCCTGGAATTACCAAGAACAAACACATAGCAACAAAGTATTTGGCTCATGGAAAACAGAAAGGAGTAATTTCCAGTCTTGAAGAAGACATGTGGCTCACAGACTGGGCCTCTCCTCACAAAAATGCAATGATTCACGTTTTAAGAATAAAACTGAAACCATGAGCTTTCACTCCATTTGGAAAAATGCCCAATTCCTACTTAGGCACATTGACATCCTGGCAGAACTCGAGTTGCTACCTCTGTACGAAGGTGTCTCCACGAATTAAAGCTAAAAACAGGAGAGCTGGTCCTGAACACAAAAGCCTCCCGACAGTCATTTGCCCCTTTCAGCATGCTAAAGAGGGCTGGAAGAGAGGATAATGGAAAGTATTCACCAGTGAAAAGCATGAAACACTTGCCAGTCTGCACTACTTAAAAGAGACCAAACATAAAATAAGTAAAGCTACAACTTGAGAAACAGAGACATTTTCCTCTCAAGCTCTTTAAAATACCCAGTGATTTGGTCATAAAACTTTTCATTTAATTGAAGGAGGTTTTGCTTCATTTTCATTAGAAGTGAGTACTGTGATGAGATCTTACTGTGGATCGTATAATCTCCATATGCAGCTGCTCTCTGCTGTAGGATCACACCAAGAACGTGTGTCACAGGTCAGAGATGGCACTGCCTGAAGCACAAGAGGCATGCAAAGGAAAGAGAGAAGTGAGAAAGAAAAAAAAGTAATTTATGTCCCCCAGTTTTCCTTCTCTCAGTCGAGGCATATTGACAGAAATTAATTTCTATAGTAAGGGAATTGCACTGCTTGCAAAGCAATCCTCTAGGATTTATTGATCTTTAAGAAAAATCTCATTAAGCAGAATAAGGGAAATTTACAACAGGTATGGGAAAACAAAACAATCTCTTGGGATCTTCACCAGGCCGAAACAGGATTAGCTCTGTAGTTTCTGTAATCTTCCCCACAGAAGAATGCTAATTCCGTCTCATTTGCTGGAACAAATAAAAAATAAAATATTTAGCACACCAGTAAATGAACCACCCAACAGCCAGATGTTGAGAATCTTAGAAGACAACTGTAACTCTCCACACACCTTTCTTTTCCTTCTCATATTTCTGCAAAAAAGACTCCAGTATTAACGAGGTTACACGACATCTTTAAAAAAACACCCCAAACAAACAAAAACAGCAAGAACATGAATATATGGAAGTAAATATGTACACAAGACCCCTCAAGATTTGTTTAACAGTCTTCAGAATTGTTTGTATAAGCATGCAGTAAATTAAGTGATTGCATTTCTAACAACTTCAAATGCTAGGAAAATAATGAAGCACTCCTTTTTTTGTGAATTTTTCTGTTAAGAAAAGGAAAAAGAAACTTTTTTCCCCATTAAATTAGCCTGTAGGTATAATAATTTAATACTTAGAGGATCAGTAGAATATTTTACAGATCACTTTACATTCTCCCTCATGACCCATCAAAATATGTCTGAAGAAGTTAATTTTTTTGCCCTGATGATGATTAATTCATGAGGCTTCAACAATATGCAAAGTGAAAGACACAAATTGGCTTCTCCAGCAATACCTTCAAATACCTCTAATTATTCACAGGGGATACGGCAGAGCTAAAGGACCCACAAAGGTTCAGAGCAGTCACAATTCTTTCAACCCAGTAGGTCAAGGACTTCCTCTTTTAAAACAATAAGTCAGCAACATTACTAATTCAGAACAGAGACAAATCTGATGGAAAGCCTTCACAATTATTAAACATGGAATTCTTTAAGGTGCTGAGCCAATAAGTTCCACATTCGTTTTTTAAATTAAACTTTAAGTTAATGAAGTCTGCCTGTCTTGTTAAAAAAAAAAAAAAAAAAGCAGAAGGGATTTTAGAATCTCAACTAGAAAACAGACAAGAATGTTTGCAAATGAATACTGAACACTTTATTAACATACACCCTGCTTTAAAAAAAAAAAAAAGGCAAGCATGAACTTTGCTGACTAGATAATAACTGTAATAATAATCACTACCACAGAGGCTTTCCTGAGGATACTTATCTAATGTCCTCATAATTTATAACTCTCTAACCCAACCGTGTATAGTGCCAAGGGCAATCAACTGCAGCTTAGAAAAAATGTTCTGCATGTCTCAGAATTTCCCAGGTTTGCTAATGGCAATTCTCTGTTTTATTCTGGTAAATCTTGTCCAGTCTAGGTGTTGGAAAACTGCAATATCTCAATAGGAGATTTCAAACCTTCTTACTGATTTAAAGAAATTGTACAAAATGAGGACCATTGGTATATGCTATCATGTTTCACTTTCTTGGTTTATGCTTTTCCACTTCTAGCTGAAGAAATCTTCAAGATTTCACTACAAAGACCTCGCTCATTCCTAACTTAGCTAATTTTCACATCAAGATATGCTGGAACATATCAAGATTCAAAACAGCATAATGGCACATGGCATTTTCCAAAGAAAGGGTTTTCCTCTTCTATCACTAATATCCTCTATACACTAATGACTAACTGCTGTTAGTTATTCAGAAAAGAAAAAAATGAAAAGCAGCTTTAAATAATTTTCTGCCCTGAATAAACCACCCCTCCCTTTGCACAGAGACACAGAACAGGCTGGTCTATTCCTATTTCCTTTCTCTGTAACATTCATTCTGATGTTTTGACACCTCTTATGAGATAACATCCAACTGTTTCACTGCTGTAGCTACAAACCTAGTTTCAAAGAGGGATAATATATACAAATACTTATCAATACCCTTCTGAAAGAAGGTAGCTCTGACAGTGTTGTTTCTAATTTAACATTTGGCACTGTCATTAGTCCCTCTCCTGAACTGCATTGCTTCTTAGATAGATAAAAATCATGTTTAAATCACTCTTCTGCTAACTAAATTACAAATCTATAAGGCTTCAGTGCCAGTAATCCCCCTTCCTTTTTTTTTTTTTTTTCCCTCTAGATAAAAATACCTGGTTCAGTAAAAACAGGCAGACAGTAACTATGATTCATATTATAGGAACACCCAAAGACCTTTAGGAAAGGTGTACTGAGACCAGTTGCAGTTCACCCCAGAGAAAAACACTGAAGAGACATCCCAAGTCACTTAAAACCAGAAAGTAAATGGCAAGAAACAAAAGAGCCAAGAAACCTATGAGAAAAAAATCCCATTCAGTAGCTGGGGAGCCATCAGTGGGCATCAGGAACAGGAGGGGGGCTTCCTCTGTGAAGCCCCTGCACTTAGGGCACAGCAGTTAATGTGTTCCAGCCGGCAAATCGGATTCAAATGAGCAGACGTCCATAGCAGGGTGGAACGCAACCACCTCCCTTAAGTATCCTGCTGCCACAAAGTCATTCAGCCACGTTCACGGGAAGCCCAAAGGACATCCAGGGACCATCAATTTTATTATGACAGACATTTCTTTACATTATTACCAAAAGACATGCCCTATATGTAGTCTCCTGTCAAAATGTGAGAAATCAGGTCAAGTTTCAACTCTTTGCTATGTTCAGCACATTCTCTAAATGATACTGCTCGAGCTTTCCTGAGCAATCTGACTATCAGGCACTGTATGCAGCACATTAAACAAATCTAATCTTATTTCATTATTCCATCCTGGTTCCACTACTTACATTTCTAACCAAAACATCAGTTTAAATGTTACTGATAAGACTAAGCAGACACGGTACTAATAACCTATCTGTCAATCATTTAAAATTACTCTCAGCAGAATTATAAGCATACCCTCCAAAAATCACAATTTGCATTCTGAACATTTGGAGTGCAGATACCTGCTGCCCTCAGACCAATGATTTGAATAATTCTTCCCTGAATAATTATGAAGTCGTGTAAAGAGCATCAGGAATAGCATTTACTTTTCGGCAGCCTATCCAAACATAATCAGCCAGTGATCAGTTTAATGCAACCACAATGAACAGCATCTCCAGTCAATACAAATGTATTCCTACCTACTCCAGCTGCTTTCAGTGTACTGTCTTCTTTCAGAATCAGTTTGTCATCATCTTCCAAACTCACTACAAGTTCACCAGTCTACAAATCAGAGAATCAGAATACAAAATAAGAATCTGCTGATTGCCTCTGCCCCAGTCTTGTTTGACAGTGCAGAGATCTGCCTGCAACAAAGCACATAACAGGGGAAGAACACAGCTAATAATCTTACCTTAGATTTGTGTGCTTGGTGAATAATCTTCATTGTATCTGAAAGAAAATACAGTGTTTTCCTAAAATAAGGCTTAATAAGCAGATAACACAGAGCTGTACTTGGGGAAAGAAAAACAAAGGCGGAAGCTCCAAAATCTGTTGTTATTAACAATTTTGCTTATTCAATCTTAATCACCCAGTCCTGCAGCCGCAGCCTTAAACCAGTCGATGCAACATTAAGGTACCACATCCTAATGGGCTTCTGTCTGCTGGCTGAATTACAATAACTAATGACTATCCCAAAGGCCAGTCAAAAGAAATCAATTTAAATGCCACTTAGGGTGTTTTAATAGGTTTTACACATGCAATTTGGGCAGATCCAACAGCTTTTATGCATTGTCAACTGTTACAGCTAAGCTGATAGGCAACAAGTGATTAGGACAGTAACCTGACCACTTCAGATCATCCTTGACATTTTCCTTCTCATGAATGAAGTATCCACCAAAGAAATTTTGTTAAGCAAGTTCACCTTCCTTTAACAGGTACAGGCTCTTCTCTTCTAATGCTACACCCTCTTCAGTAATTTTTATCTCTGGTATGTTTGTGCAATGTAGTACTTTAAGAAATCATGCTATTAAAAAAAAGAAAAAAAAGTGCCATTTTCTTCAGACAGTGTGGTCAGGGCTTTAACAGAAGGGAAAAACAGGGGAAAATAATGTGGTCACTGAAGTAACTGGATGAGTTCAAGCATCCAGAAGGAATGGAAGTCAGCACTTAATGCAGCACTTAAAAAAAGTAATAATCAAACTCCAAAGCTGCTGTGTTTGAACAAATTCAGAGTAATACATCAATCCCTTCCCTAGCAAAGAAGAAAAACCAGTTCTGCTTGCTGGCTCGTTTTCTGTTCTACTTTGGGTTTGCACACTGAGTGAACACTGTGTGTCGAAATAGTCCGGTAAGAGAAGGATGCAACAAAGTTAAATACAGACTAAACCAACTCACAAACTACCGAGAACAAGTATTCAGATGTTCAGAATAATAGAGATCACACTCCCACTCAGAAGTTTGCTTCCATAACCCTCTGGTCCATTTTGGACACTATTTAAAACACTACATAAGGTAGAAACTACTCTATTCCCACCACAGAGGTCACTGAGAAGGCAGCCTTGGCATGTTGTAATAACTGTGGTATTAGAAGCAAGACAGACAATAAATTGCAATTAACAGGATCCATCTTGCATAGAAGCATTGCAAAAAGACCAAGCAACCACAGAAAAAAATATATTGCAATCATGAAACCTTTCTACCACAGCAAATAAAACACAGCCTCTGCCTGTTAGTTCTAAACTTCCTGCCTACTTTGCCACATTCCCTTTTCTCTAGTCTTTGCCCAGTCATTCCCTGAACCATTGTCTCAATTTTAATTGTTCACAACTCCACCACAGGCACTCAGCAGTTTTCCTTCTCTTCATCCGAGTTATTAAATGGCTTCTCTAACTCTGTTACAGAGATAAAACTACCCTCTCTTCTCATCCTAGGTAAAGCCTTATATCCTCTCACTAGCCTTTGCTATTTCATGCCCATTTAGTTCCACTCCATCATATTGACAGTTTTTTATCTTGTCTTTTCTGTTAATGGGTCTTTCATGACAACAGATAAGAAATCACTTAGTAAAGTCTGATCCTGTGAAACATCTACCATATTGCTCCACATTCATGGAGAAAAGAAATAAAACTGAGAAACAGCTTATGAGACAAGATGGCACTATCTTCACTGCCATCACCAGTGGAAAGAAGGCAATGACAGGGTAGGAAGATAAAATTGACTGAGAAGAGCTCTAGACCAGGGACAAGAATTATGTGTTTAAAGAAACAAAGAGAAGATGAAAGTCATAATCTTTGAGATGTGAGTTAGAGCACCAATCCATGAGGAAAAATGTGATGGCATCATATATGATGTTGAGAGAACAAAGTGGTGCTGAATTCTGGAGAGAGGGAAGCTGAAACAGGCAAGGTGAGAGACAGCCAATCCAACTGAGATTTCTGGCACTGCCAAAAAAAGCAGAAGGAAAAATCTGCATCTTACTAGCACTATTCATGCAAAAGTCTCACTGCCCTTTCCTCACAAAAATCCAAGACACTGGAGCAGTGTAGAGACAGTAGAGATGCCAAAACAAGAACCTGGATGATTCACAGCCTGAGGGGAAGGTGAGGAACTTGGCTTTGATTTTCCTGTGCGAAAATTTTCAGGCAGTTAGCACCATCCCAGTAAAAGCAGGCCCCCACTAACTGGTGTAGCAGGTTTTAAAGTTAAGCTCAGTCCTACACGGCACAATCAGGTGCTTGGCCACAACTTATGCCTTGGGAAAAACTAAATTGATCTCCAAGAGATGAAAGAACTAGGAGCAGGGATAGGCAACACCAGGAATACAACCGGCAGCAGCAGTTCTAGACAGGACCCCCTCATCTGGCCAAAGCCACTGGT